TATCATTAGTGCTCTGAAGATCCGCCCTCTACCCACTTATACAACCAATGTGGTCTGATAATGAGCTATCCTGTTAGAGAGGTTATTAATTATGAGGGCAAGGGGCGGGCTAAGGGCACTCACGCTTATTGCCGGCCCTGCCGTTTATCCCTTCCAACAGTCGAAAACAATACGCACACTCAAAGAAGAAACCTCGAAACGAGCCTCCACAAGGCAGAGGAACGGGGAGGAGATCCAAATTAGCTAGGTTGGTGAACTCGCGCTGGCGCCGTTCCGTTGGAGCACTGGCCCTCGTCGTGTTTGGCGTGCAGCCTTCACCCCGCTGAACGCGCCCGCCCACCAAGAGTCTTGATCGTGAAGTCAGCTGATGACAAGGGTCGCGTATTAGGCATTATGAAACCTAATAAAATCGGTCGTCACATCCACGATTCTGCGGGTCTATTCTTGGAAGCCGTAAGGCATCGTTTCTATGCGATGAATACACCGTTTCGTGATAAGCCAGGCAATTGTTTCGCATGGTTCGGTATTTGGCAACGTGGCTTTTTTTATTTTATTTTACTAGTGGTTGCGTTAACACGGTTCTTCAGTAGCACTGTAATATAAGCCGATTCCACGTGGTGTGTAATAACCTGAAATATGCACGTGACCGGAGGAATATCGGTTATGTTCTCCAAATTGGGCGGCAACTGGCGCCACCTAGAGAACGTATATTCTTTAAGGGGACCATGAAATCACCTTTTTACTTTTGCAAAATAACTTGTACATTAAACCTCCAATGTTCACTGAATGCCGAACAAGCATCCGTTTTCGTGTCGGTTCATTAACTTCTATAGAAAAGATTAATGAAATATCGACTTTTTGTTCCTCTCCAACTCACCGCAAAACAAGCTGCGGCGTTATTTTGACGGTCATGACGTCAGCCGGCACCAGAACCGGAAGTTCTCTCGGCAGTAGGCGAATGAGAGCGTTAGCGACGGCGGGCTGGCGGTGTGCCGGTAGGTGTTGCTGCGGTGATGACGCTGATGACGCTGATGCCACCGTCTCTCTCCTGTGCGGGGGGCGACGGTATCCGAAGCGTCGGAATCGTATCGGGTTTCAGGCCGCGGGGGGGGGGGGGGGGGGGGGGGGGGGCTTTCGGAACCCGCCCGCATTCGTGGAGAACAGTGTGAATGCGGCTGTAATTATGCACTGTGTCATAAATGTTCCGTGCATACACGAGTGACCTTAGACCCGCTGTCCCTCAAACCGATGAGCCTGCACCAAGTGCTTCGACGTGGTTTATCGAGTGGCAACCGATGAAACTGCAACTGTTTCTTTTTAACTACCGGACTGCAAAAACTGTGATTAGGGCACTTCGGTACACTGTAGCCTTTCGGTGTAGCGACCGAGCGATCGATTACAAACAATGTAAACACTACTCGAGCAGTCAGAAAACGAACGTCTGCTCTGTGAGTGCGACCAGGAGCAAACCCGTGCAGCAGACGACGCTCGTGGGATGACTACGCAGGCACAGTCGGGTCTTTCTCTTGTATCGTTTCGCACATGATAGATGTCGCTTGGCTCTCAGCATTGTCAAATTCGGCAATTTCCGTCACATCTCTAATTATGCTACGAAATGTAAATCTGAATATTAATTAACAGAGCTTTTAGGAAACATTCGCCGGCTATTTATTGTTTATGATCGGGGTGTTGGTAAGGTACGCTTTTACCCAATTTGGCTGACGTGCTGCGGTACCGCGGAAGCATTGCACCTTCTTTCGAAAGAAAGAAGGTGTAAAAGAGTCCGGTTTTCTTTTAAAAGTTCTATAGCGCAGAATTTTTTTGACCCTATATCTTTGTGTTTTGGGTTCCTTTTCACAGATTTTACGACGTGCGAGGGATGAAATTCGATTTCAAAATCGTTTCATGGTTCCTTTAAGCTACGCATATAACACCAGTTCGGTAGCTGCCGAGAAAAATAGATGGCCCATTGTCAAGTTCGGGCCCGCCCATGACAAAATGCTGTATGAGGGGAAGGGGGGAGAAGAGGTCCCAGCAAAATGGAAGGTTTTGGGGGGGGGGGGGGGGGCCGGGCCCCATGGGCCTCCCCCCTGGCTACGTGCCTGATATATATATATATATATATATATATGTGTGTGTGTGTATATATGTATATATACATATATATATATAGAGAGAGAGAGAGAATGTTTTTGTAAGCTTAACAGAACTTTTTTTTAACATGAAAGCTAGATTAATTCGGTCTGCGCAGGTGAGTTTTACGGAAAGGGGACATAATATAGGAGGCTAATCGTACCGGTCAGTCGGCTAATTAGACAAAATTCGTTAATGAGCCGCTTAATTAATGAAAATAGTATAGTGCAAATTAGAAACTTGCTCAGCGTCATCGAAAAACACTAATTCAGTGATTTTCAGAAAGACTTTTAGCGCGTGAGAAGCGTAGTAGTGCACTAAAGTTAGCACTAGTGGAGCACGTACACAGCTAGCGGTTGCGGTAAGGCACCCGCGCAATTTTTCCGTCTCTTATCGAGCCCCAGCCTTGTACCTGCTCCGCGAGTGGTAACTTTAGTGCACTAATACGCTTCTCACGCGTTCAAAGCCTTTCTGAAAATTATTGATTTAGTGGTTTTTGATGACGCAGAGCAAGTTTCTAATTGGAACTATATGTCTATTTTCAATAATCAAAAAGTTAATTAACAAATTTTAACGAATTAGCCGACTGATCGTTACGATTAGCCCCCTATACTATGTCCCCCTGGCCGCATAACTCACATGCGCAGACCGCATTAGCCTAGCTTTCATGGTTTGTTTTTAAAAATTCTATTAAGCTTAAAAAAAGCACCCTGTATATATGTGTGATTTCATATCAAATCGTGCAGGCACAAAGGATCGAATCTTTAATTTCGCTGAAAAAATGTATCTTATGGCGCCGTCTCTGAAAACGCAGTCGCCACAAACCGCAAGTCCCTCGAATTTTTCGTTCTCGACTTACGAATTTTAGGAGAGGCCGCGGCAGAAAGCAGTGTTTTTCACATCCGTCGTGGGTCGGATGTTTCGCTCAATTTTCCGCCGAGGATTTTCAGTCCACATCATCTTAACTTTATTAAGCACTCTGTGAGCATAGTTCAAAGGCTCTAATGCCATGAAATAATTTTAGGCGTTTTGCTTTTTTTAAGTAAAGTGGTCAAAAACGCCCCCTCGGTTAATTGCTGATGAATTTGACAATTAAATACTGGCGATCTACTTGGGTTACATCGATATTTTCTGTGTGTATGGAGAGCCCTAAACATGCTCGTTTTATATATTATAAAATCACTCAGGTTGTAATAAATTTCCTTTGCAGTACGTTTACATTAATCTTATGCTGAAACCAAAAAGTATCAATTTTACAATCGATTTTCTCAGAAAACCCTTTTTTTATTTTTTTATTTTTTGTTAAAATATAGATATGATAGTTGTCTACTCGAAAAGCAAGTCGAAAAAGTGTGTATTTTGTTCGTATTTTCTATATTTAAGCCTCAATATCGAAAAAAGACGCCTTCGTTTTGCAAGATTTAAGTCGGACATGGCTACCCGTGTGTTTCAATGAATTGTGAAAACGTTTTCTTGCATTTCTGTTTGCATTTTGTAATCAATTATAGACGCAATTTGTGGTATTGACTAGTTATTTATGTTTTGATAAGTTTACAAGTTTCTAATTGGAACCATATGTCTATTTTCACTAATTAAAATGTTAATTAACGAATTTTAATTAATTAGTACTTATCGCAAAGATTAGCAATCCACATAATGTTCGCCTTGCCGTATAACCTATCTGCACAAACCGCATAAAGGTAGCTTTCAATGCTTTTTTTAAAGAAATCTGAAAGAATAAAAAACACCCTTTATATATATATATATATATATATATATATATATATATATATATATATATATATATATATATATATATATATATACGAATAATGGGTTTTCTATATAAATATGCCATTTTGAGCTTGCTGGGACTATATTTCAATCAACTGTGACACCTATAGAAAATCCTTCCTACTGTCAACCCTTATAACATTAGTTTGGGCCGCTCCGCACTTACTGCATCTCCTTGCAATCGCGGATTTGACTTATATACATTTGTCGTGTACAAGCTAGGGACTTCACAATGATTGCATTTTTTTAATTCTTATAGTAGAGGAATGACTCATTCGTCGCAGAGCCTCAACAAGATGAGGATGTACAACTGTCAATAAGCGTGTTGCGTTTTTTATCTACTTTAATAAATTACTCCTAGACCGTTATTTTAGCTTAGGTCGTAATTTGCAAAATAAGAAAAAATGTAGCAAATTTACAGAATACGTGTTAGGAGAATTTACACTTGCAGTAGCAACGTAGCGTAATTTAAGTCATAATGTTATAATAGGCACGTTCAATGCGCGATTACTTCTCAACAAACACAAAAGTCTTGTTATAGAGCCATCGTTGTCGTTATTTGTATCTAATTTAAATTATTTCCTCTTTGCACCGTATATGTTCAATTGCGCTACAACTTGTTTTCAATATTGTACTTTTTGCCAGCTTGTAGTAGTTTCCTTAATACTGCACTTACCTGCAAAATTACCATCGAGGAATCGCAGTAATAAATAAATTTAGGGTTTCCGCTCAACTAGCATGTATGAAAGTACTTCGTGGTGGATCACATTAATATGAGGTGCGGAATCCTTATTTACTTTTCGACCTCGAGGCTTTTGAACCCTGAAGAGGGAAGTAGCTTAGAAAGAGAACCTTTGTATTTCTAAACCCGGCCTTATACTTGTTTGTTTTTCGTCACTAGGCGTTTATGCGGTCTATAAAACAATATCAGCTGAAGCAGACCTCGACCTGTGACAACCCGCAGTGATGTAATGTGATCAAGAATTTAACATTTGAATTCCCCTCTAATGATGATTACTCGAGCGTCAAATCGGTGGTGTCTGAACCCGAGTGGCGTCCCGTTTCCCGCGCAGCGACCTGCGGGCTGCGGCTGCTGCGACTCGACGTACCGTCCATCATGCGTCGGGGCGAGCAGACCTGGCTCAACTGCAGCTACGACCTGGAGCGGGACCAGCTGTACTCCATCAAGTGGTACAAGAACAACGTCGAGATCTACCGCTACCTGCCCAGCGAGACGCCCCGCGTCAAGGTGTACAACATGCCCGGCATACACATCGACGTGAGTCGCCCGCTGGACGCGGCCGCCCGGAGCGACCGCGCCTCCCTCCCCCCCTTCACTGTTCACGCACGAGAAAGCCGACGCGTTGCAACACGTTTTCGCGTTCCTCGGGGACGCGTTACATATTAGGAAATTAGGCGACGAAGCGGTTGAGATTAGGAGTGCTAAAATAGCATTGGGAAAGAAAAGTAATGTTTAAGATGTAGTATCAATTGCCAGCTCAAAGTCCGTTTTTGGGAAACTTCCAAGGCACGTGATTTCAAAGGTCTTTCTTTTTCTTTTCTGTACGATGAAATAGTAAAAATACAGATAAACTGAAAATATGTTTTGTCCCGTTTTCGTCTTTTAGTAAATCGCTTTCCTTTTATTTCTGGTGGATCATGTATGTCCTTGCTTTTACCCGTAACTAAACTAAACAAAACTAAAAAAAAAAAAAAAAAAAACGGGAGCAACAGGCACATACTCGCACACACCGGCTCAAATTAAGCAACTAATTTATTTCAGAGCAACGCCTTTATATAACCTCGGAAACCTGCTCGCCGTTAGCTAACACATCCTCAAAAAAAGGTTAACGAAGCAACGGGCCAAACATACCAGTGTCCTCAAACCCATAATAAAATAAACCCATAACAACCGCACCCCCCACCCCCCCCCCCCCCAAAAAAAAAAAAAAAGTAATTACCACATTCAACCATTTTTCTTTTTTTTTTTTATATTTTTCCCGCGTGCGCAGCTGGTCAAGTAGGCGACGCTCCCGTGGCCGAACGGTTATCGTACTAGCCTCCCATGCGCAAAGCCGAGGTTCGATACCTGGCCGCGCATACACCTTTCTGTTGTTTCTGTAATGTCACGTTCTGGAAAATTCGAGAACACTGTTGGCTTGTTCGAGGTCAGAATGTGGTTCGAGGTCCAGAATGCTTTACCTGCCGTACCTTTTACGCCGATTGTTCCAGAAGTCCACGCGTGTCCATAAGGGGCTCCGCTTGGCGAGCCGGAGCCAGTCTCTCCCCAGCGCTCAATCCTGCTGTTTCGCCGACATCGACGCCTACAGCGACGCTAACCTTCTACTTTCGGTTTTAAGAACAAGTTCACCTCAGTTATTCGCCGCCTCGTCATTTGTCATTCGTGACAATATTACTATTATGTTTGTCATGAGAATGCCGATTAATAGAATTCTATATTTCTACTCTTCCTTAAAAAAAAAAAGGATGTCTAATCGAAACTGTTGGATTTATTATATATATATAAAAAAAAAGAAAAAGTGCGAAGTTGAAATGTACAAAAAAGAAAGTACGCTTAGCTAACAGACCCTCATGAGACAATTTTGGAAATCGAATGTGTTGCAAGGATTTCTTGTACAGCGGAGTCAATGCGCCTTGAAACACGCAAACTTCTGTTACCTTCCGAGCAATTTGGTGAAGCGCGACTGGTAACGTGGCGTCACTTGAGGTGCATATTGTCATGAATGAAACATCATGAGGCGACGAATGAACACAAACTAAACGTTTTATTCGACGAACTTCTGCCGAAAAATGAATTGCAATGGGGTAGCGTCGCAGGCTTCGGAGGCCGGCGGAGTAGTGCGATCGAACGCAAGAGCGAGACTAACTCCGGACAGCCACGCGGAACATCGTTTGTACAACAATCGGCGTGGAACGTTCGGCGCCCAGAACATTCGTCACTCGATCAGACGACAAGGTTCTCGAACTTACGAGATGGTCAACTTGAAAGAACAGATGAAAGAGGAGTCCGCTCCCTGGAATCGAACCTGGAGCCTCCGCGCAGTAGCCGAGGGCGGTAACCATTCGCCCACGCACGTGCTCACTCGGCGACGCGCGTGATTTTGAGTAGAAGCAGCGCACCGGCCGCTTTCCGTACGGGTAGCGGGCGCACCGGCCGCTACCCGAATGGAAAGCGGCCGGTGCGGTGATTACTCATGCCGACAGAGCCAGCAGCGCGACGTTTTTGCTCCACGTTCTGGGAGAGCGCATTATTAGAATTTTACACTCCAAAACCCCTTTCACTCGCAAACTCGTTAAAAAATGCATTTTAGAGGCTAAAGGTGAAAAAAAAAAATTTAATGCGAAAAATTGATTTTGTTATTTTAGATTGTATTTTTCTGCGCTATATTATCCGCGTTTTGTTTAATTTTGTTTCGCTTTTGTTGGCCTCATATCTACATTTGGGATTTTAGAGTTAGATGGCGTTGAGTCTGTACAAATACATTACATATATATCACGGGTGGCCAGGCTGACCCGGCCTAAGAGCCGCAAGCAAAATCGCGAAACTTCCCTTGAACTACTTTCAATTTATCCGAGTCAAAAGCAGTCCAACTGTATGTAAGGTACCAGTAGCACAACAATAGCAAACCGCAACCTGTCTTTCAATTTAAAACGCGTTCCGTTTTTCTTTTTGGGGAAGTGCTCGTGTGACCGGGAGGGAGGCGGGAAACTGGGAGGGGGGGCGTAGGGGAGGGAGCCGCGAGCCGCACTTTAACACGCGAAGAGCCGCATGCGGCTCGCGAGCCGCAACTAGGCCACCCCTGATATATATTATGCCAAGCATCCAAACTAGAGTTCCAATTTTCATAGTTATTACAGGGACTGCGAACTAAAGAAAAGCAGGGCGTGGCTTGTTATGGTCACGCCTCTTGCCTCGCGATTGGATGTTTGGATTGTTATCGGCTCATGCTGTAATCTCATTGGCTCCGTAGCCAGAATGAGATGCACGACACATCATCACGCCCGTCTTTTCTTAAGCTGTCGGTAACTCTAAGCTGAAATAGTTATCGGGTATACAAGCGTCGTAAAATTAACGATGAAAGGGTACAGACGCAGACCTTCTGGTGAACGATGTTTATGCGCCAAGCCGACACCGCGGATAACAAAGAAGGACAGAAACACACGTCCTCCGAACTGAAACAATGCATGTGTGTGTCTGTTTGTGTTTGTTTGTTTGTTAATTGTTTCCCCAGTCTTGCCTGTGCAGCGCGCAGGCAGCGTTCCTGACGGGGTCGCTTCCTGGGCGCTCCGTTTACATTTTAAACACAAACAGGTGGCAACAAGATTGAAATGCATCACCCCACCTCACTCAATGCACACCATTTATTATTATTACAATCATCATTGTTGTTATTATTATTTTTATTATTATATTTATTATATTTTAAATAATTATTAATATATTTTTATTAATATCATTATATTACGATCCAAGAGAAACGGGAATTGTGGAGAGAGATAGGGATCTCTTTTACGAGGCAAGTCGCTGCCAGGCGTGGGGCATCGTAAGAAGAAAACCAAAGGAAGTATTTCAGGTGGTTAAAGGAGTTCATTTTTCATCGCAGAGGTTAGCTAATTCCTGGCATCCACGGGACTTAAAATGTGACACGTTTTAAGTCCCCGTCATTTGTCTTACTCTTGCTTTAATGAGGCACACCGCATTAATATAACTGTACTTTCGCAACGAGCTCCTGCATGCCACGAAATGGCCGGTAACTTCAACGAACTCATTAATGAGGTTTGAATTCAGCTCAGACAATATTTTCTCGTATGCGTGTTCATTGCCGCGTAGTCGAGAGTAGCGTTCAACCATCTAAACACACAAAGAAAGCGCTCTAAATTCTTCCTAACTGAACTCTTTTACTTCATCTAAAGAAGGCATATTATGAAACCGGGCAGTGTGAACGCCGCATCTTTCCTCCGTTTCACCAGTTATGTGCAACGTTAAGAATAAAATGCAAGACTCGAGACTGGAGCTCGGAATTCACTTTGCTTGAAGGCAAGCTGCAAGAACAAAATCTGGTCGTAAAATAACTCTTAGGGGTTCTTCGGCTTGTCAATATTTTGCACCCTAAAATATACTTAAGCAGCTTCTAAGAGGGTTGTTCGCGAAAACTCTTTCAGGGGTTCTTTTATGCTCTTTTTTTATGCGAAAGAGTTCTTCATCGCCCACTTGCCTTGCTAGTGATCCAGGGGGTGACACTGCTTGAGGCGAAACTGTTCTTCGAGTTTTTGGGGCGTCGAAGAACCTTTCATGAACGAATTTATTTTAGTGTAAAACATAAAAAAACACTTTCTTAAAACAAAAATAAAGGTTTAAGGGCATAGATGGGACGCATATTTTGTTTAATAATATTTTCATGAAATAAAAAAAAAAATTCGCGCAATATTTGCTCCGTGAGACGCAATTCGGGTGTAGGTCACGGCACGCTCTAAGCCCCGCCCCCAGATCAGAGGCCTCTCCCATTAGTACTGGATTGGCTTGGATGCTCGGCTGAACACGCTAGGAGGCCTAGTGCCTCCCTTTCGCAAAATCCGGTTCGTCTAGTCTGGCGTCTGACACCGCCTGTTAGTCGTGCGAGCAGGGGCGCGGCAGCCACTGGAATCGACGTGTGCTATTTCACTGCCGTCTATCGTCTGCAATGCCCGTGAGACCCGGACACGAAAGCTGCGCGTTGTCGCCCGCTTTCGATCCTGTTCGTCTGCTATTCCCGACCCCGTCTATAAACTTCCGCAACGCTCCGAAGACGCGACCACAAAAGCGGCGTCCTAGCGTTTTAACCTTTTACGAGCCACGGTCCAATACAAGCGTCTGTCAGCGTCTATTATGTGCGACAATAAGCGGCCGCGAGGAACGAGAGAAATGAACAAAATGAATATGCAGTTCTCTCAGCTACACTAACCTTGTTTTTTTTTGTTTTTTTTACACGGCATTGGCGAGAAAGATTGGTGAGCGTCATGACGCACAATTAAATCGCGATGTGAAAATTATTCGCCTTCGTAGGCCAGATGCACCGCAAAACTTAACAGCAACTTGTCTTTCGAAGCAAAATTGACGGGAACATAGAAAAACTTGATGCGAGCCGAACTCCCAATCGCCTCCAGCCAAATGGTTCGCAAATTCTTATTTGTGTAGGTAGGTATCTTCTCTACATTAAACCACGGTTGCAATCTGTCATGTATCCGCTGGTGGCCAAGAGATGGCGTCACCGGGCACA